CCTGTCTCATTTTTGTATTTGTTTTTGTTATTGTTTTGAGACAGGGTCTCACGACATAGCTCATGCTGCCCTCAAACTCGTGGAAATCTCCTGCCTCAGCTGCACAAATTTTAGACACCCCCAGCTTGGTGCCTGGTGAAATTTTTAACGGAAGAAAAAAATCTAGATTAAATGTTAAAAGTTACATATATAATTTGGTGTACTGACTTTTACCAGTACATATACTGAAAAGTTACATGTATATATTTAAATCTGAAAGACCTTAAGGAAAGAATATTCCCTTGTCCGGGAATTGATTTAAAATGTTTCCCTTGTCCGGGAATTGATTTAAAATGTTTTATTGTTTGCAAAGTAGTATACAGGCTTGGTGTAGTTTAATTGGAAATCAACAATATGTTGAGACTAAATACTAATATACTAATACTAAATACTAATACTAATATACCAAGGTAGGACTGGAAATATAACTCAGTGACACAGCACTTGTCTGGCAAGCTCAAGGTCCTGAGTTCGATTCTCGAAGCTCCCCTCGCCCAGTAAAATACACTGAGGTATGGTTCCATACTAAGATACACAGTTTCTAGATTTAGAGTTTGAATTTTGGCAGTACATATTACTGGTGTGAATCCACCTAAATCAAGATATTAGACTGTTCCCTTTGCTCACAGGTTCCCATTTACCTCTTTCCAGTCACCTTCACTGCAATCTGAATTGCATTTGAATGAATCTGTAATGTCTTGGGGCACTAAGTTGGGTTTTCAAAATGCACGTATGTTATTGCATATATCCATAGTTGATGTGCCGAGAGATGTTTCTTTAGTACATTTCTCTGGTGATGAACACTGGGATTGTTAACCAATTTTAAGTTACTGTGAATATTGCAGCTTTGAATATTCTTTTTTAAGTTTCGTTTTTGGTGTTTTGGCTTCAAACATTCTTACATGAGATCTTCGTATGTAAATACTTAAGTGGAATTGCCAGTTTCTAAGGTAGGTACTAAAGTAATTGAACTATTTTAAACTGGTAGGGGTGTTTTTGATAGTTACTCTCAATTTCTTTAAATAGCTAAAATTCATATTCTCTGAATATGTAGGGAAAATGTTATAGAACTGTCTATATGGGTTGAGAACTCTCTATGGGTGGAGAGTTAAAAATATGTGTAGTACCTAAATACACATATTGTGTATGATTACTTCTTTGGATGAGAACTTGATTAAAAATTCTGGAGACCTTGCACTGTAGATGGAGGAATGATATTTATGGTACTATTATTTGAACTATTATAAATCCTATTACATAGGCTTTCTTGCTCATATTAATTATAATTATACAAAATTATAATAATTATTATACAAAATTAATTATAATTATTAATTATTAATTATACAAAACTCAGCATGTAACATAGAAGAGAACCAGTAAAAGTTGGCATGTTTGTAGAATGTTTAAGGGTATGTGAGGTTTTGTGTGTGTGTGTGTGTGTGTGTGTGTGTGTGTGCGTGTGTATGTGCCCATGTGTTAATTGGCAGGACTCTTCCTATCAAAGCTTGATTATAAACTGGCCAGAAATTATGTCCAAATGTGATGGCTGTCTTGTATCATTTATCCCTGAAAAGATTCTCTTTCATAACGTTTTTCCACAGCAGCTTTTAAAAATATTTCATTTAGATTTCTTTAAATGAAAATCCTTTATGTATTCAGATTTTTTTCTGAATAGGCCTGCTCTATTTCTCATTACTCATGCACATAGTCTGCTGGCCTCATTGTAGTTTCATGGTGTGCTATTTGAGTTATTTTGGAAATGTTATTCCTTATAAATACTGTTTTGGGCAGTTAAATATAAATAGGGGGAATGGTTCTTAGTACAAACCACAGATTCTTGAATGAGTCATTTAAATCATTCCCATGTATGTGGAAAAATTACATCACTACCCTGTGCTGGGTTTTCTATTTATACTCTACTAGGCTACCTTATTATTTTTAAATCTATTTGGTCTTTTTTAAAGATAGTATAAAGCAAGCTGTGTAAGAAACTCATGGTAAGGTACTTTGAGGCCAAAGGGAAAAAACACCATGAAACAACGTATCTTTTCTTAAAGCTTTATTTTTAATCTTGTAGGGAGGCTTAAATGATGTGGATGTACTTTCCTTTCCATTTGTTCTCTTAATGCATTCATTTATGTTCCTTGAAAATACAGCAAGTTAATGACATTTGGATGTTTTGAAATTAGTAACTATATTTGAAGGCCTCAGTAATTTTTGTCTGGTACATGTTTGTGTTTTAATTTTTCTAAATGGGAAAGGTTTGCTTCTCTCCTTGTGCAAACATAAATACCATTGGAATACCATTGTCTTAGAGTTTGCAAGGAAAACAATTTAATACAGGACACATAATTTGTAGAATTATTTGATAGTCACCCAAAGAGTCAAATACAAAAGAGTGCAGGAAATCTGTCTACACACTAAAGACCCAAGAATCCAGCTGAGGGCCTGCATCCCACAGCAATGCTTTGTATGAGTCCAGTTGAAGACCTAGAGCCCATGACAGTGACCCCCTGTGAGTCCCAGCTGGAGGCCTAGAGCACAAAATAATGTCTCATGCAAGTCTGTTTTACGGATCTGTGCTGAGAAGGCCCAAAGGTCAGTGGTGGAAGCTAGAAAGTCTGTGCCAGCAGGCTGAGGGATCTGCACTGATGCTCAGAGTAAGGACCAGAGCTCCCCCCAAAAGTACCACAGTCATCCTCAGCTACAAGGGCCTGAGCTTCTCCAGTGGTGAGAACAGCGAAGTTCATATCAGGAAAGCCAATGCAGCAAGCTCCTCCAGAACCAACAGTGCCTGCTTCTTCCTCTCCAGTTCTCCTTTGTATGTTGTTGGTAACAATCCTCAGGTGGGTCTTTCGCACACCATGCTGATTCAGTTCAGCTGGGTGTTGCACATTGACCATCAGTTGTCATTCCACCACAGCCATGGTATCATTTTAACTAGTGCATGTCTCTTCAGTGTGGCCTTCTAGACACACAATAATAATAAGGCTTCTGTGCACACTGATAGATTTTATGATGCTTTTAGGTAAGTTTTTAAAATCTAATGTATATAATTAGAATTGCTTCCCCGCTTTAATGATGTTTGTTATTTATGAGAAGAAATCTGTGACAGTCACAACTACTTAATCATTTTCTCCTGACTTTGGGCCTCCTGCTTGGTCTGATGTGCAGGACTGCCCTCCGACGGCTCTCCCTGCTTCTGTGTTCCTGGCTGCTGTCCCTGCATACAGGATGTTAGGTGAGGCACAGGCCCATTGTGATATGCACAGCGCAGTGCAGGGGTCTTCTGGTTGGTTATTCCTGGATGATGTGGTAGTTCAAAGGAAATAAGATTTTCAAAACCTTCAGGGGTGAATCACTCTGTTGTACACCCACCTACTTGCTTTAAATCTGTCACTTATTAGATTATGATCACTATATTATTCATGAAAATTGTAACTAATGTGCTACATAAAGTAATTTAAAATATTTAGCATGATCTTCATGAGATCCTCTTGGTTGTTCCCTCTATTCTCTTTTGTTGTCCTACCAATAAGTACGTGCAACAGAGCACTTACTTTTTCTCCAAATTCGTTTTATTCAAGCATAAAAGAAAAGAAGAAGATGATTAGAACAAAACTCAAAATAGTCAGACACTTTTAAAACCTATTATGCTGATTAAAGTTTTATGCCTCGCCTGAATCACCTCCAACAAGAAAGAAAAAACATTCAAAATGTCTGCCAGCTTTATTTCAAATCAGTAAATAGCTCATATTGAACACTTACTTAGAACTGCTCTTTAAGCATTTTACATGCACTGTATATGTGTACTAGCTTATTTAATCTTAAGTCTTTCAAATAAGAGTTATTGGAGCAGTTCAAAGCTGAGAAAGTAAAGGTATAAAAACGAATTTGTCCACGGCTGAGAGCATGTGAAGGATCACACCTTTTGTCAGTATCTTGGCTTCTTTTTAATTGCTGCAGTAAATGATTTCTGTCATTCCCATCCCTTTCGTGCTTGTCATTGTATACATGCAAAGATTAAAAATGTTGTGGTTTCTGCTTTTGCCACTCTGACAATTCGTTGAAAGAGCCAATGTTTTGCAAATGCAACATAGAACAGACTTTGGAATCAGCTGTGCCTTTCAGTTCCACTTGTGTTATCTTAGGCCAACATGTCTCATTTATAAAGTCACCATCAAAGTGGCACCTGGCTTTATAGGGCTGTGAGGTTAAATGAGAGCAAGTACAAAGGGCACAGTGAGTAGCATGCATCAGTGTTCAGTGTTACCTCTTGTCTACTCTGAAAGTATTACCAGATATTCAGCTGTTTCCCCAAGCAGTAATCAGTCAGATTTACTCATGTCTGGTGTTTGAGCATGACATGAATGCTCTGCTGCTTTGCCTAAAAAGAAAAGTTTGTCTATCCAGCTTCTCACTAATTGTAGGTGTAAGGTTTATTCTGTATCCATTATTTAGCCAAAATGCTTTTCATCAGATAGTTACTTTGAAACGTAAGCCTAGGCATATTTTCTGCAAGCATTCTCCATGAAAACAAGGTCATGTCAGTATCATTCTGAAGTGTTTTTTGTTTTCACTGAATGTCACAAATTTTGTACAAAATTTATTCTAAAACATTATTCTACTGCTTTATTTTATTTGAATAGGTTCATTCTGCTATTTTTACAAATGCATTTTCTTCTAAGAATTAGGATGTGAAGAATTAAAGCTGTACTTTATTTAGGGATCATTTCTATATATAGTTATTAGAATATAAAGAATATGAAAAATTAAAATTTGTAAAGAATATTGAATAAGCACAGAAATACTTCAGGACAATGCCTGGGGCATGGGATTTAAGCTACAGCCTAGGTCTCTTTAGGTTTTCTAAATGAAAGGGCTGATTTGAGTATTACATACTGTTGTGTTCTGACTTACCATGACTAGATGATTTAATATCTGCTTATATTTCATAGGTGACCGGGTTATTGATGTGGGATCTGAATGGAGAACTTTCAGCAATGACAAAGCAACAAAAGATCCATCTCGGGTTGGAGATGCTCAGAATCCTCTTCTGAGTAATGGAGATTTGTCTACTATGATTGGCAAGGTAATACATCCATTCAGCAGACAGTCCCAAGTGCAGACCTAGGAGTTCGGGATGCTTGTGAAAGGACCAGTCACCGCTCCAATTGGGAGTCTTGGTCTGAGAATAAGACTTGCTGCCAATAGCACTGCCAGTGGGGCCGCTTCTGTATTTCTTCTCTCTTAGGGGCGAACATCAATTCATAGTCTTTGTGTATCACCTAGTCTTTTTTTCTTTCATAAACTAAAAAAATGAAGTTTGATATGTTTTTATAACCTAATATTGAATGTTAAGAATATCTTTTTTTCCCTCTACACCATATACTTCATAGAAATGTTGAGAGTTTGATGACTTTGTAGGCAAGGTGTTTGTAGCATAACATGCAGTGAAAAGCATGTGCTGTTAATGGCAGCTTGTATTAATATATAAGGCAATAGCATAACTTTCCTGTTACCTAGCTCACTCTTCTGCTTTTCGTTTTTTCAGTATTGCGAGTTGATCCCAGACCCTTGCACTGAACTATATCTCCAGCCCTTTTTTATTTTGAGACAGGATTCCACACAGTTGCCCAGCTGGCCTCAAACTTGTGATCCTCCTGCCTCAGCCTCCTGAGTAGTAGGAATTACAAGTATATGCCACTGTACCTGGTCTACCCAGCTCTTTTTTGCTTTATTACATGAATTGAAATCAGTGGTGACAGTATTCTGAAGGACTAATCAAGGAAGTGTATGATACTTTAGAACTTTAGTAATGTATATAGAAATCTGTTATTATGAAAATAAAAAAGATTCTTTTGTGTGTCTACTTGATAAATTGCATATCAAATCTGAAAAATGAGGTGTAGGCTAAGTTTCAAAATGTACAGACTGTATGCAGAAATATCTTTAGGTCACATCTGCATTTGCTTTAAGTCTTACAGGCTGGATAAATGGTATATTACAGACACTTTAAAATGTAAGATTCCAACCAGCTGATACTGTTACTTTTTAAATATTTTTATAGAAATACATGACTCAAACATAAATGTATAAAAAGACTACAGTAAATTTTCCTCACCTTTGACCCCTAAATTCTCAGTTCCCACTGCAACCCCTCCTCCTGCCAGAAACAGGTGACCGCTCATATTAGTCTATTCTGTAGTCCTTTCAAGGTTGTGCTTATGTGGCAAACAAAGAAAAATTTTTAAACTGCCACATTTACCAGTGTTACGTGTATTACATCCAGACTTTCTGTGTGTATTTGGGAATATTTCTGGACTGTAGTATCATGAATCATATGCCTGGTGCACTGTCTCAACACCTCATAGCACTAGTCCTCTCTCAGCGGTCCTCTCAGTATTTTCTTCACTAGTCTTTTGAATTTAAAGGTTAGGGTCATTTGTTTTGTTCTTTCAAAAGTTTGGGGGCTGGGGACTTAGCTCAGCGCCTGCGTGGAAGCACGAGCTTGTAAGTTTGATCCCTGGTACCAAAAAAAAAAAAAGTTTAGTTAAAAATAAGTAAAAATTAAAAGTTTAGTTATATTTATTTTTACTAGAACTTTGGTTAGATTTGCAAATGGATGTAGAGAAAACTGACTTTTCTCAATGCATTGTGCCACCCAATGTTATGGTGTACCTTACCTTTTTTTTTTTTTTTTTTTTGGTCTTTTTCCTTTGTATCGGTACCAGGGATTGAACTCACCACTGCCTGCTTACAAGGCAGGCGCTTATGCTGCTGAGCTAAACCCCCAGCCCCTACCTTACCATTTTCTTAGATTTTATACAGCCCTCTAAGGTATATTTTAAAGTTTTCTTTATAACAATATTTCTTAAGTTTATCCCTGGATTTTTTTTGTGGAGGGTCACTGTTATTTTTTTTTTTTTTTTTTTTTTTACCGGTACCAGGGATTGAACTCATGACCACATGCTTGCAAGGCAGGCGCTTATGCCACTGAGCTAAATCCCCAGGCCCAAGGGTCACTGTTACTGTAGTTGCAGTATATTCCTTCATTGTCTTCTAACTGGTTAATCGTATATACAAAGGCCTTTGATTTCTGTTAGTCAGTCTAAGATACCTATCTCTAGTTGTGTGTGTGTGTGTGTGTGTGTGTGTGTGTGTGTGTGTGTGTGTGTGTACTGGAGACTGAACCCAGTAAGATACTGAGCTATATATCCCTACCCCAAAAGGTCTTGCTAAAGTGTCTAGACTGGCCTCAAACTTTCAATCCTCCTGCCTCAACTTTCTGGGATTATAGATGTGTGCCACAGCACCCAGCTCTCTGTGACCTTTTCTCCAAAATGAATTTTGAGAATTTTGTCTTTTTGGTACCTTCAGAAATCACATTTTCTTCCTAGATCTGATACTGTGATCTTTTATATTACTAGATTCTCTAATAGATACCTTGTAGATACCTTGTACTTAAGAAGTTTCTACTAGGAAATGTTTTTTTTTTTTTTGAGACAAGGTCTCACTGTGCAGTTCAGATACTATGTCATCCATGTTGATCTTGACCTTATGGCAATCCTCCTGCCTCAGTCTTCCAAGTGCTGGAATCACAGGCATGTGTTACCATACCCAGCTAGCTAATTTTTTAATATGTTGCTGTATTGTTTGTATCATATTTATAAGTGAAATTGGACTATTTCCTTTTCCTCAAATAATTGTTTACAATTACATATTCCTTAGTATTTGCTTTAAAAATTGCTTCAAAAGAATCTGAACTTACTGCACTTATAAGGTCTTTCTACTTGAGAAGTTAGGCCAGGATGCACAGTGCAGATCTTTTGGGTATATGGAATCACATTTTATATATATATATTTTTTTTTTCTTTCCAAGTGAAATATTTATGCAGAAAATTCAAACATTCAAAGGTCAGTCTCATTCAACCTAAGACCGTTCCCTTCTTCCCCACCCCAACTCAGTGAATTGCACACATTACTCCATATGTGGACAGTACAAGCGTCCTTCTTCCTAGACAAAAGACTATCACCCTGACAAAAGACTATCTCAGAAGGAACAAGATGGCACCAACTCTCATCCTGCCTACAGTGCGCATACCGACTGAATGATATTTAATAGCTGTTCCTTGACAAAAGTTACCCTCAGAACTTCCATTTCAGACCTCTGTTTCTCCACATTCCCTATACTAAAAGGGCTTATCAGGGTCACAGTGAGAAGACCTTTAGTCAAAGGCTGTTCCACAGTCACCGCACGGAATGTGTTTTGGCCCTGGGACTTTCCATTGGTGAAGAAGTTACAGATGTGGCTGAAGTCTTTCCCACATTTGAAGCATTCAGAACTTCTCCTGTGTGAACTTTCTGGTGTTGAATGAGACTGAAATGTTGATTAAAGTATTTCCTACAATCATTGCACTCATAGAGCATTTCTCCAGTGTGAATCCTCTGATGTTTAACAAGGCTAGATCTGTGAGGGAAAATTTTCTCACATTCCCTGCAGTCGTAAAGTTTTGCTCCAGTGTGAAATCTGTGCTGTTTAACAAGGCTGGAATTTTCACTAAAGAACCTCGCACGTTCGTTGCACTTAAAAGACTTTTCTCCAGTGTATGCTTTTCGGTGTTGCATACGGCTAAGCCTTCCCACATTTGCTGCTCCCGTGAGGCCTTTCTCCAGTGTGGATTCACCAGTGATTCCTAAGGCTGGATTTGTGGCTGTGGAGTTTCCCACGTTTACTGCACTTACAAGGTCTTTCTCTGGTGTGAACTCTGATGTTTCATAAGGCTGGAGTTGAAGCTGAGGAATATCCCACATCCGGTGCTCTCATAAGGCCTTACTCCAGCACGGATTCTGTGATGCTGAGTGAGTGTGGAATTGGGTCTGTGTGAGAAAAGCTTTTCTCTAGTGTGAACTCTTCTGTGTTGGGTGAGATGAGCATTGCAGCTAAAGGATTTCCCACATTCCCTGCACTCATAAGGCTTTTCTCCTGTGTGAACTATTTGATGTGTAAAAATGGTTAGATTTATGGCTAAATAATTTCCCACATTCACTGTGTTTATAAGGCTTTTGTCCAGTGTGCAGCTTCTCGTGCTGTACAGGTGAATATCTGACCGCTTTCCCACCTTCACTGCCCTTGTGTAGTGCCTTTTTCTAGTGTTCAAGATGTCCGCATTCTCAGTGCCTTGGGAGGCTGCCCTCCACAGTGAGCCTCCTGGTGCTTAAGAAGACACAAGATGCTGGAGAAGTCCTGTCCACCCTCCTTGCTTTGTAAAGCTCTCACTGGCAGGTGGATTCTGCAGTCCTCTTCTCTTTTAAGGGAGTTTTCTCCACAGCACAGCTTCTAGTGTTGAAGGCCGACTTTGGGCACTTTTTCAATAACAGTACTCTGTTCAGAAGGTGCCTCCCCTCCACCACTCCACATCAAGAACATGAACCACAGCAAAAATAATGAAGTGTGTGTGTATGAGGTAGTACATTCACAGTGTGTGTCAGGCACCCCCACTAATGAGTCCCTGCGGGTTTCCAGCAGAATAAGGATGCCAGGGCTGGGCAGCTCGCAGGTTGGGAGGCCTCATCCAGGACCAGGATGGAGAGGCACAAGAAGGAGTTACAGAGTCATCATTATGCACCTCCATAAATGGCTTTCCATAGGATCTCAGCTGCTTCTGGAATGTCTTGGGTCATGGCTTCCTGCACAGGCATGATGAGCTCTCCTGTGCACTCTGCTTGAGTAATTTCATGGGTTCTAGAAGATGAAAGTCCCAGAGAAACCATTAGCAAAAAGTTCTCCAGCATCACACTGTAGAACAGGAGCCTCAGGCCTTCATCAAGCAGGCTTCACTCCTCTGGGTCATTCTGTGGCAGGCTGTCTCTGCATGTGGGACTTGCTGCCTTCCATGCCGCGCCCTGGACGTGGCGAGCTCTGGGTTCCCTCCTGTTGCCATTCCCACCCTCGCCGCCTCGGTGCGGGACCCACTCCCCTCAGCCTGACGGACCCACCCCAGGCTATGGAAAGCACACGCTAGAGAACTCCTAGATTATATATTTTCATATAAATTATTCATTTAAATGTTACAGAAAGTTTTGTAGTGTTGTGAAACTTTGTCTTACAGGGTACAGGAGCTGCAAGTTTCGATGAGTTTGGCAATTCTAAGTATCAAAATCGAAGAACAATGAGTAGTTCTGACCGAGCAATGATGAATGCCTTCAAGGAAATAACTACCATGGCAGACAGAATCAACCTCCCTCGAAATATAGTTGTAAGTTCTGTGCACCCCTTTTAAGCCATTCTTGTACTGACTTACCATAATTTAATGAACACATGAAATGTTGGTATTTCAACTAATTAAATGGCCTAGAATTAATAAGCTTAGTTTCTCTGCTTTGAAGGATCGAACGAATAATTTATTCAAGCAAGTGTATGAACAGAAGAGTCTGAAGGGAAGAGCTAATGATGCCATAGCTTCCGCTTGTCTTTATATTGCCTGTCGACAAGAAGGGGTTCCTAGGACATTTAAAGGTAAGTTTTTAATTGCATAAAGTAACAGACCAGAGTCAGGCAGTTTTGACGCTTAGAAGCCAAGTTATGTCTTCATTGTTACACAGCAGTCCACCTGCATATCACTTGCAGTTACCTGTTTATTTTATTCCTTAACAAAAATTTACACCATGATCTTACTGTTTTCCCTGTAAGCTCTTTTCTCATGTAGTTATTTTAGACTCTGTAAGCCATTGCATCTTTGCTAGTAAGATCGTTTGACTGACTGCATTTTGTCAGCACCACTATCATAACCTACAATAGGACTTTTGTAGAACGTCTACAATGTATGAATAAAAACAGCTTCCAGAGGGCCAGGGTAAAGGTTTAGCTCAGCGGCACAAGTGCCTGCCCAGCAAGAGCAAGTCATGAGTTGGGTCCCCAGTACCCCCCCACACCCCCCCAAAAAAACCCCGAGAAAAACAGCTTCTGTTGCTAGTGCAAGTCTCTGTAAGCAAGGGAGTTGAGCACCACAGGAAGCCTCATTGAAGCTTTTTCTCCAGATGAAGCATTTCTGTTCATTCTTAAATTAGAGGCTTTGAGATAACTGGTGTTTCTCACCACATGAATTCATGATGGTCTCTGCACATTGTGGTCGCAGTACTTAGTTTGACTTTCACTGGCAAAGATTGTTAGCTAAAGAGTGTAGTAAACCCACCCACCTTTTTGTTGGGAAGGAGACATGGTGCTGTAGTTCAGACTGGCCTTGGGTTCATTATGTGCCACAGGCTGGCCTTAAACTCGCAGGGATACTCCTGCCTCTGTCTCCTGACTACTGGGATTACAGATGTGTACTATCATGACTGGCAGTAACCTTTCATTCAATCGAATATGGTATTTGTTTTTTATAAGATATTATGTCAAAGTGAAGAAGCAGCAGCTTTTCTTATCATCTTTTTTGTTGCTGCAGCTAAAACAGGCTTTTCCTGAATTTATTCTTAATGTGTTTAACAGTCAAGTGTTTAGAATAACAGAGTGACAAACTTTCTCTAATTTGGTTGTGGCCTGTAACAAGGATTGAGTGTACATGACATCATGTAGCTGAGGGGTATTCTAAGCTTGAGTTTCTTGTCTACTTGATATGCTCCTTGTAACAGAGTGAAATGTGAACACCAAAGAAATTTTTGAATAGTTGAAGAGACTTACTTGTATAAATTGAAACTATAGAGAAGTCAAGATTTTGAAACACTGACACCTAAATTAACTTTACAGTGTAATGAACATTTAAATTAAGAAATTTTAGGTTAGCTTTATGGAAAATATCACTGAGAAGATCACGGTTCCATCTTAAAGGCATGATTGAAAGTTTTGCAAGTAGAATGTATGATTTTTATAATTAGAGGTAATTGATTTTATAATGAAGTATATGACTTACGTAGATTTTAAAATATTTTGTCTTTTAGAAATATGTGCTGTATCTCGAATTTCTAAGAAAGAAATTGGCCGATGTTTTAAACTTATACTGAAAGCTTTAGAAACCAGTGTGGACTTGATTACCACTGGGGACTTCATGTCCAGATTCTGCTCCAACCTCTGTCTCCCAAAGCAAGTGCAGATGGCAGCGACGCACATAGCCCGCAAGGCTGTGGAGCTGGACTTGGTTCCTGGGAGAAGCCCGATTTCCGTGGCGGCGGCAGCTATTTACATGGCCTCGCAGGCATCAGCTGAGAAGAGGACCCAGAAAGGTGAGGCTGTCCCCAGGAAGAACGGTAGCAGAGCTAGGCGGCTTCGTGCTGGACACGTGACCACTGTGACCATGAAGCCCGTCAGGATCCAGAGCCTGTAATTAAAAAGCCACTTCTCGGTGCCAAGACTTGTAAGAAAGTAGGGCGTTTTGCTTGTAAGAGGCTGGTAAATACTGCTGCTTGGAGGCATGGCCTGTGTCCAAAGGTTTTTTCATTTTTAGAGTCACCCCTTCATTCCTGATTATTTGAAATAGTCATGTGCCCCCCCCCACGCGCGCGCGCACGCGCCCGCTTTAAGTCTTAAAAGGAAAGAGCTGGTGCTTGCTTTCTCAGTGGAGCGCGTTACTCTGCAAGCAGCATCCTGTATTGTGGATGTGTGTTTTGCTTTCTTGAGTTTTTGGTTGTTGTCAGTACATGTGTGCAATACATAATGACTACATCTACTGGGGAGAGTTGGTCCGTGGACACTGTCTATGACCAATACTGTATTGATTATAGAGTTCTTTTGTGTATATGACACCTTTTAATACTGTTGACAATTCTTTAAGGTAGTAAGTACTTCTACATTACTAATATTTTTACTGATTTTATCTCCTGTGTTCCACCTTTTAGCTTGTATTTTTTTTTCCTTTTATTTTTCTTGGTTGGTTGATTGGGTTTTTGCTTTTGTTTTTGTTTTTTTAAAATGGGATCTCTCTATGCTGTTCAGGCTGGCCTTGAGCTCACTTTGTAGCCCAGGCTGGTCTCGAACTCACAACGATCCTCCCACCTCAGCCTCCTGAGGGCTGGGATTACAGGCGTGAGCCAACATGCCTGGCAATTGATTGGTTTTTTGAGACAGAGCATGAGTATGCAGTTCAGGCTGGCCTTGAGCTCACTATGTAGCCTAGGGTAGCCTGGAACTATGAGCAACTTCCTGCATCAGCCTCCTCAGTGCTGGGATTATAGGCATATTTCACCACACTGGCTTTCAGTTTGTATTTTCATTATCAGTTTTGAACGCATTTTTCGGTTTTTTGTTTTGCTGTTGGGTACTAAGGAGGAAATAGAAGGGGGAAACATGGTTGTTAATATTTGGGTTTTTTGTCTTTTAGAAATTGGAGATATTGCTGGCGTTGCTGATGTTACAATCAGACAGTCCTACAGACTTATATATCCTCGTGCCCCAGATCTCTTCCCGTCAGACTTCAAATTTGACACTCCGGTGGATAAACTGCCGCAGCTCTAAGCTCAGGCATCAGGTGCAAACTCTTATATACTCAGAACTTTGTCTACTGTACATAGCCTGCCCACAGTGCTGGCTCGGGCCTTCTCGAGGAGCGCAGACATGGTACGCGTGTAGGCCTAAACGTTACTGCTTGGCATTCTGTATGTATATACTAGTGAAACATATTTAATGATTTAAATTTCTTACTGAACTTGCTTTCTTTTGTAGCAATCTAGGAAACTGTATTTTGGAAAGTATTTGAAATTATGTAAAATTCTTGAATAAAACATTTTCAAAACTTAATTTTTTGTTACAATTACATATATATGTAATTTATAATGTATAATTTTAAATAATGTATATCATTGCAGCTAATGTTGCAGATAGAAGTCCTTGTTTTCCATTTTCTTTTACATATATAGAGGTTTTAAAATGTTAATAAAGTTGTGCAAATAGCAAAGTGTTTTGAGAATGATTGTTAACATCTGTGGCATTTGGTTTGTAGTAGAAAGGACATGTGTAGCCGGGAGTGGTGGCACACACCTATGATCCCAGTACTTGGGAGACCGAGGTAGGAGGCTGGTAGCAAGTTCGGGCCAGCGGGGGCTACTGGGTGAGTTTGGCAGGAACTGAGTAGTGAAACCCTGTCTCCAAACACCAAACAGCTATTTACACGAGGGTTATTTAGTATATAAATTAAGCCAGAAGTGCCAGCCACAAAGGCAGCTCCTGCAGTCATGAGAGTTTTGGAGACTGGGGCAGAAGGATCACAAGCTGAGTCCATGATTCTGTCTGAAAATAAAAAATGAAAGGGCTGCGGTTCAGTTCTCATCACAAGAAGTGGTAAGCTGGACCTTGGGAGACCCAGCTCAAGAGGTAGATGCTCAGCTGCACTTTTTCAGTGAGCTTTTTTGTGAGTCTTTTGGTGGTGAGGGGATAAGGTCTCACTGTGTGGCCCAGGCTGGTCTCTTAACTCATAGTGATCCTCCTGCCTCAGCCTCCTAAGTGATGAAATTACAGGCCTGCACCACCACACCCAACTCTCAAAAGAATTTATTGAGCACAGATGAGATCATATTTCAGTTAGTGTTTCATGTTATAAAATCTGTAACTCCTTTTTATTATGGATATTTACATGGCAGTTACTGAGCCCTGGAAGTATCAGGAGGAGCATTTTAAACAGCACTGCTGAGTGATTGTGGTACAGGAGGAACCTCACACATCGCTCTTAGGGAAACATGGGTTTAGGTGACAGAAGACCAGCATGATTGTGCTCTTTCCCACTGGATGGTTTGCATACCCAGTGTCAGTTTCCTGTAGCAGCAACCTGTGGTTCTCCATGTTCACCAGGCAGTGTGTGTGTGTGGGGGGGGGTGCTGATTCAGAGCCAGGCCTGTAGACAGACTTCACCGCCATTCTGCTGACTCTGGAAGCAGGGTGAGCCCTGGGCTCTGAGGACAGAGTGTTCCTCCCTCGGGCAGAACAGCGCACACAGTCCCTTCTCAGACCTGGGAGAGCATTGGCTAGTACCTCACAGGGCCTCAAGCCTAGTGACAAGCCCGCCACCAGAGCAGGTAGGGTGAGTCCCACTTAGAACGAGACCTGGGAAGGAGGAATCGGCACCATCTTCCTTCCCTTGCCCAACGGCATCCCTGTGTGAACGAGCAGCACTGAGCTTTGGCCCCTCCCAGCCCCATCGCAGTTTGGTGGCAGCAGCCACAGCTCAGTCTGTGAGAAGTTACTTCCACAGCTGTCAGCAGTCAGTGTGTACACAGCCTAGAAACCTTGTAAAATAAAGCATCCATAAGTCACAAAAATAATCATTTTGACTTTTTTCAACTCTTTTGTTGTGCATTTTCATAGAGTGAATTCAAAGGCCAGGCGTGGTGTTACACGCCTGTAATCCCAGCACTCTGGGAGGCTGAGGCAGGATTCCTGTGAGTTGAAGGCCAGCCTGGACTACAAAGTAAGCTGAAGGCCAGCCCAAACTGCCTAGTAAAACCTTGTCTCGAAAAAATAAAGTACAGCAATTCAGCTTTTTATACTTTTCCTTGTTAAAATTTGTGTTTTATTTGATAACTAGAAAAAAGCAAGTAAATGAAAATAAAAAGCTTCTTCCACTGCAGTGTGTCCACATCTTGATCCCTGTTTTGCTTTCTCTTCATTTTGTAAAATTTAGGAAAACTGATTTTAAAGATTAATATAGGAGCAATGAGTATGTTTTCATATGTATATGTGTATATATGTATCTTTTAATTTGCACTTTTGTGGTACAAAGATTGAGCTCAAAGCCTCTGTTCTGAACTACATCCCTAGCTATTCATTCATTCATTTATTTAGGGGCAGACACTTTGCTAAGTTATAGAACCTGTGATCCTCCTGCCTCAGCCTTCCAGAGTACTGAGATTACAGATATGTACTATCATGTCCAGCTGAGAAGTTTAGATAATTACTGAAATGAAAGGATTTAGAATGCTATTTTTTCTAAAATTAAACTATCAGTATAGATATTAAGGAAAAAGTCGCTAGAGTATAGCCTAGTGGTATAGCACTTGACTAGTATGTGTGAGGCCTTTGAGAAAATCACCAGTGACGTGTGCACGTACACACACACACACACACACACACACATGTTCCCTGCATGTGTACTGTTGATTCACAACTGCTTTATTGTGAAAAACTTAGAAATTCAAAGAATTACAAGTGGAAACAATCATATATTAAAAGCAGTGCACTCGAGGCTAGTGGTTCAACGTGGCTTTAAAGGGCTCTGAAGTAGGGAAAACTAACATCTCATGAAGAGACGATCACACTTAAAATTTGAAGGCAGCTGCTTTTGGGACTTGCATTGTAGCAGGTAGCAGTGGTAGTGAGTTTAGCAAGGCTTGCAGTGAGGATGAAGCGGTCCCATTCTGTGCAAGCTAGCATTTTAGAATGTTACCTAGGGACAGTATCCCAGATACAGTTCAAGCCAGCCTTGAACTCACTGTAATACAGGCTGCTCTCCATCTCACAGTCTTCCTGCCTCAGCCTCCTGAGTGCTTGGATAATAGTCATGCACCCTCATGCCCAGCAATGCTGGCTTTTTTTTTTTAAGTTTAATTTGTTGGTCTTTTTGACACAGGGTCTCCCTATGCGGTTCAGGTTGGCCCTGAGCTCAGTTTGTAGCCCAGGCTGGTCTCAAACTTACAGTGATCCTCCTGCCCAGCCACCCAAGTGCTGGGATTACAGGAGTGTGCCACCATGCCTGGCTAGTGCTGACATTTTTAAACAGTTGACGTTCTCGTTAATACCACCCCTCCCACCTAGATATTTAAAGGAAGGATTCACTGGAAGCCACTTTTCATTGACAGTGTCCGCTGTTACTCCAAATTCAAGGATTTAAGTTTCATGGAATCTGAGTTTCAGCCCGCTAGACCAGCCTTCCCATTTTCTATGTCACAGGAACCTAGAGAAGCCGAAAGAGATGCCTGAGTTCACTTAGCAGAAGTGGGACTGTTTGATCACTCCACCCAGCACTCCTACTACCTGCGCCACTGAGATTTACCTCAAAGGAGGTGGGCTTGGTACTGAGCTCAGTGGTGCTCTTCAAGTGGCATTCTGTTACTTAGGACGCTTCACTGCAAAAATGTCTATCTAGTTTCATAGGGAAAGCTTTTGAGAGAGAGCTTTTAATTATTGTTAAATCAGCCCGCTGACAAAGAGTTAATAGCTAGAAACATTCTTTAGTCCTTTCCCCAAACTAAATGCATCTTAAACTTGATGCCTCTTGATAGTAAGCCTTTGTGTTGCAGACAATAAATGTACTTTACCCATGGATGTCTTTGGTTCCTGAGCTAATTTTGTATCACAGGTGCAAGATTTACTTTAATTATCATGATGAACAGCTGAGGGGGCAGCCTATTACCCATCTGGTCCTAATCCAGCCAAGAGGCCTCTGTGCCCCATGCCAATATTTCCAATTGTCAGTGGCCCTGACTTTTTCCAATTATCAGTGGCTGCTGGATTTTTAATCTTGTCTGCCGATTGTGGAGCTACTGGAAGATTCCCTGACCCCCTAAGCATCCTGTCCTCCTCCTCCCACATATTTAAACACATGCTACATCGGAGTCTATGGGTTTAAAGGCATCACTGTAAGCGCATTATTCGGTTTTCTCTCCAGACTGCAGGCATGCAACTGTCATAAACTTTTTTTGTGTGTGTGACACTGGGGATTGAACCTAGGGATACTCTACCACTGAACTATATTCCCAGCCTATTATTATTACTGTTACTATTTTGTGATGCTGGGTGTTGAACCCAGGACCTTCACACTAACCTACATCGCTAATCCTTTATTCTTTTGAGACATGCTCTCAATCACTAGTCCAGGGAAGGTCAAACTTGGAATTCTCCTGCTTCAGCCTCCCAGGATGTTGAGATTACAGAAATGTGGCATCATGCTAAGCTAAACTTTCATTCCTGTCACTGCTGCTTCCCTGCTCTTAGGACTAGTGGGAGTGCAAATGAGATTTAAGCCACTGTTTCAGGAGGCCTTGAAAGGGGAAAAGATGAGAAGAAAAACCTACTTTTGTCTCTACTTTCCTGCCACTCCACGCTTTCTGAGAAAGAGTGGGTGTGTGTTAAGACGGGGTCTCCCTGTGTAGCCCAGCCTGGCCTCAAATTAGTGATTTCCACACCTCCTGGGAGCTGGGGTTAAGATATAGGGCTACTGGACACTTCTGAAATCACATGTGTGGGGCACCCACACTGCACAGCTCAGCAGACACCTGCAGGTGTGCTGTACCTGAAGTCGGTTCTAACGCCACCTACCTGGAGACAGCACCCACCTGTGCAGGTAATGGGGCTGGACTGGGGAGTCCCAGGGAGCTTCTTCCCCGTGCTTGGTGTCCTGAACAAAGAATGGGATGAGACATGGAAAAGGCAGCGGATGTGCCTTTCTTGAAGGCAGGAAAGAGAATGAGGGTGGCCCTGACCGGGCTCGAAGTGCCTAGAGGAGGACAAAGTGGTCTTTTGTACCCAGATTTCTGAATTAGCTCCTCCCTCATGAGAATCACAGACTGGGACACTTGTCCCAGCCAAAATTCACCTGGTGCAGAGCTGGATTTAAACTTCCCTTTGCAAAGACTGTCTGGGCTCCTGCCAGATATAAATAAAGGATTGAAGCTAGGAGGTTTCAGCAAGCAACGCTGATTCAAATAAGGTCCAGCAAGCAACGCTGATTCAAATAAGGGATTGACAATGCTTTTCTGGTTGGTTCGGTGTGCAGTGCTCAGGAGCCCAGGAATCCAGAACTATGCTTTTGTCCTCTGGGTTTTCATGACCTTTGACCCATCCTGCTCAAATGTGCCCTGTTTGCCAGCCCTAGGGCTACTCAGGTCCCATTGTTGATGTTAGCAGGCAGCAGTGGAGGCTTCCTGTTACTCTTGATGGGCTATAAATTGGACTGCATTTCATTAA